TAATGGTGTCGTCACCTTCAATGTGAAAAATGTAATCGACTTCATCCGATTTATTTTTTGACTTTTTATCAGGATGAATAGTCTGATTGGCCTTAGACACATTGTCATTTACTTTGCGTTTATTTGCCCTGGTTCTACACTGTTTCCGGAAATGTCCAACGAAACCGCACTTAAGACATTTTTTATCACGGGCCGGGCAAAATCTACTGTCATTTGAATGATTACCACTACAACGGGAGCACGTATTTGAACTCGAACTCTTTTTACTTGAACGCGTCTCTAATCTATTCACTGATATGTCTTTACTAGGTCCAGGTAACCCGAAGTTATTAAGTTGCCGGTTTACAGTTTCTAAAGCATTAGCTTCAGATATAATTTTATCAAGTGTGACGTCATCGCCGAGAGTCAATATTGTCTTTCTTAATTTGGCTGACTCGCATTTTTCAGTGATTTGATCGATCATATGTTCGTCAGGGGCGGTAAATTTGCATTTAGAACTTTGATGACGAAGCCTAACCAGAAACTTTTCAAATTTTTCCCCATTTTCTTGTTTAATTAGCCTAAACAAATGGCGCTCATATACCCTACTTTGTTTGGGTGCAAAATATTCGTCCAATTTATTGATGGCAACTGTATAAATATCGTTGTTATTATCACTTAGGGCTTCCACGTGTGCTCCAGGAATATTATAATAAATTTCTTGGAGCGGTAACCCGCCCATATGTAAGAGCACTGCTCTTTTTGCTTCGGGTGTAGTTATATTAGTAGCTATCAGGTATAGCTCCAGTGCACGTTTCCATTTTTCCCAACGTAACCCCACAGAAGTTGGGTCACCGTCACAATCCAAGGATTCTAGTGGCGGTAAGTGTGACATTTTAAATTTTTTTTTTTTTTTTTTTTTTGGACTACCTGTAACAAAGGATTAATGTCCTTTTATAGGTACCGTTCTGATTTTCATCAAACTACCTCTAGGCATAAATTAATCGATATTAGTCGACACACACGTCATGTTAGTTTACTAACATTAAACCCTTTAGGTACCGTTTGGTTACCCAAACTACCTCTGATAACCACGTGATTGTTGACAGAACAGAAGTAAATTAATTATACTACATACTAAATTACAGTGAATCGCTTGATAGATTAATTATTAAGTTATTGTAATTGTAATATTATCGTATGCTGCTAATTTAATAAAATAAACTATAGTTCAAACGCATAGATGCACACAGGTAAGTATTTAAATTTTTCTTTTATTATTTGTATAACTACAGTTATTATTTTATAACACTGATGTTCAAAACATTTATATATAATTTTAACAATTCCTTTTCTGTCAATAACTTTATTTGTGGTATATTTTGATGTACAGGTTACATCGCTTTGTCAACAACGGGTAGGTATTTAGGTACCAATCAAGTAACGAAATCAGCTTTGTTTTGAAATACTCCTTTTGCAACACCAATGCGCGTAAATTACATAAATTAATCAAAATATTGGTTATAATAAATTATTAATATAAACTAAATAAGTTATCCAGTTGACAGATGCCGGCACTTCGGTGTGCTTATGACGTCACGCACATAAATACTTTCACTTAGCTATTGTAGTGTAAGCAACGTATTTACATTAATCTATTTCAGAATGTCATGATTACTTAGGTTGATTTAATAACAGCATAGAATTCATATTAATACCCCGTTCCATATGCTACATGGAGTATTTCAATAAACAATAACCGATTAGTTAATGATTTACCTCTTAATTAACTTTGTTTTTCTCATGTTGGTACATACCTTCTACTTTTGTAATCCTGGCAGGGTCGCCACTTGTAAAGGTTCGCTTCGTATGTACACGTAAAATGAAACACCAAAACAGATTTGTACCGCACTTATCCACACGACGGTCGCAGCTCGAGAGAGCGGCTAGCGAGTCGCCAGCCGCACTCCCCACCACCGACCGCCCCCCAGTAAGCGTGCTACGTTTATTTAACATAATACACTACAGATAGCGTGATTCAAGAGGAAGGTTTATATGTATAATACATGCATATTACAGTACAGAAAAGCTGAGAAATTCAAAGATTTGTATTTCATACTAACCGTTAAAACGTACCTAGGGAGGAATCCGAGCGAAGCGAGGGTAAGTCGCTAGTCTTTAATTATAAGTATTGTGTTATGAAATTAATGTATTGTATAGCTTGTATCTATACTAATATGACAAAGAGGCAGAGTTTGTTTGTTTGTTGGTTTGTTGGTTTGTTTGTTGGTTTGTTTGTTTGTTTGTTTAAATGCGATAATCTCAGGAACTACTAATCCGATTTGAAAAATTTTTTTTACATTACCTAGCCCGTTTGTTGAGAAATGCTATAGACTATGTATCATATAATATATAATAGTCCATACTGATTGTCAAATTTTAATAAATTTTAATAGATTTTAAATAATACTAAAAAGCTTATTAAGGAACACTCCGACACATTAAATCTTGATGTTAAAAATCTTATTCCATCATGTGCAAAACCACCAAAGTTGTATGGACTTCCGAAAATACACAAGACTAACGCTCCGCTACGTCCAATTGTGAGTCAGATCGACTCACCGACTTACAAATTGGCTAAACTAGTAGCAAAAGTACTCTCACCACTTAGAGGATTAACAAGAGCGTTCACAAAGGACTCTTACCATTTTGTCAATGAAGTTAAACACCTAAAACTCATGGACAATGAAACAATGGTTAGTTTCGATGTACAGTCTTTATTTACCAGCCTACCAGTGGAAGACTGTATTGAAATAATATCTAGGAAGCTACTAGATCACAACATATCAATAGAATACATTGAACTTTTAAAATACTGCCTAACATCCGGATATCTGCTGTGGAATGGGGAATTCTATAGGCAAGTGGATGGAGTGGCCATGTGTTCGCCAGTCTCCCCCGTCGTAGCCGACATCTTCATGGAGGACTTTGAGGAGACTGCTCTGAACACATCACCTGTGACCCCTCGTTTCTACAAGCGGTATGTAGATGACACTTTCACAATATTACCATCTGATAAAATAACTGTATTCTTAGAACACCTTAATTCTATAAATCCTAAAATACAATTTACAATGGAATTAGATTCGGACAATACCTTAGCTTTCCTAGATGTATTAGTTAAACGTAACCCAGATAACACCTTGAGTCATACTGTGTATAGAAAGAAGACCCATACTGATAGGTACCTGAACGGTGAATCTCACCACCATCCTTCACAGTTAGCTACCGTGGGAAAATCTTTGTTTCAGAGAGCGCGCGGGATCTGTGACGAGCAACACCTGGCCGGAGAACTGCAACATGTCAAGCAAGTTCTGCGTGACAACAAGCTGCAAGTGCCGCGCCTGCGTCACAGTGACCGAGTGAAACCCGCCACAGTCGAGCGCGTCCCTGCAGTCTTGCCATACATGAAAGGAGCCACTGACAAGATTGGCTACATTCTAAAGCGAGCTTCAATTAAAACTTACTTCAAGCCGCCAAAGAAAATTAGTCAGTTCTTACCACCTGTCAAGTGCCACATCCCTCTACAAGATGCAGGAGTTTACAAGCTTGATTGTGATTGTGGCCTCTCTTACATTGGACAAACAAAGCGATCCATTAGAACCCGGGTCAAAGAACACAGCTGATGTGAAGCACCGTCGCACTACAACATCTGCTGTTTGCAAACATAGCCAGGACCGCCCAAGCCATTATATTCGCTTCGATAGACCTCAAATCCTGGCGAAAGAAAACCGATATCGCCCTAGAATGATTCGAGAAGCCATAGAAATTAAAAAAACATCCAAATTTCAATAGGGAAGATGGCATCGTCATGGGATCCTGTTATTAATATAATAAAATCAAATAATAAATATAAACATAACAGACAGCTAGATGTAGTAAGTTCTTACTGTGTAGACAAAATGACAGCTTATCAGATTAATATTTTTCATTTTTTATGTGTAAAAGTATAAAATAATAGCAAACTAAATTAAAATTATTATCCTTAATTAATTTAACTTTTTTTAATTACACATAGAACAATTATATGGCTTAAATAATTAATAATATATTTTATATTTTTCTTTATGGTTATAAATATAATAATGGCAACACTAAATATAGATTACTAATTAATATTTTTAAAATTGTAATAATTATAAAAATAATAGCAAAAATTAAATAAATAATATTGTAATGTAATTGGTGCAATTTTTATTTTGTTAATTGTGGGTAGGCTGTCTGTAACAACTATACCTTCAAGACATGTAACACCTCAGTCTCTCCCGTGACCATGGATGCTGTAAAGCATTCGAAACGTCGGGAACCAAAAATCAAAATAAATCCGCGAAATAGTCCGAAAAGATAGTTTTATTTAAAAATGTCAAACATTCGCGTAAATCTAAGAAAGTATTATGTAAAAAATTGTGCAAATAAGCGTGTTATTTCAACGTTCCTGTGCAAAGCCATAACAGTTGTAAATAACTTAAAAACTAAAATAGTGTATTAAATAAATACTCTGGCTGTTAAGAAGTGAATCATACTCGTAAAATAAAAGCTTAAGCCAAAATCTTTGTTTTGGGTTGTATTGCATTAATAAAGACCCCCAATAATAGTTTTTCTCAAAAATCTTCCATGTACAGACAGCGATTAGTTACAATTTTATTATATGTAAAGATTATATATTTTGTTTTACTAGCGACTCACCCTCGCTTCGCTCGGACTCGTCCCTAGGGTATGTATACAACTTCCCTTTCGTGGGGACCCTATTTTTTTCTAACTGCCTCGGTGGTGTAGTGGCTAGCATGTACGGCTGCACACCCGGAGGTCCTGGGTTCGAGTCCCGGGTCGGGCCAAGTTTAGTTATTGAGTCTTTCTGTATAGAAAGTCTCAGTAACAGCCCGGAGTTGGGAAGTTGGCGGTGTTTCACCCCCGTGCCTCGGAGAGCACGTAAAGCCGTCGGTCCTGCGCCTTAACTCTCACTGGTCGTGTCGAGCAGTCGTCCCACCGGAGTATGAGAGTGATAGGAATAGAGAGTGCACTTGTGTCTGCGCGTACACTTGAGCACTATAATATCTCCTGCGCAGTTGGCTAATCTCAATGAGATTGGCCGCCGTGGCCGGAATCGGCTAGGAGAACATCATCATCATCATTTTTTTCTAAAATAAAAGTAGCCTAAGTTACTCCTTATTACATCAGCTATCTGCCAGTGAAAGTCCCGTCAATATCGGCTTAGCCATTTCAGAGATTAGCCGGAACAAACAGACAGACAGACAGACAAAAATTGTATAAAATCTTGTTTTGGTATATGTATCGTGTACACATTCATATGCATTAAGTAAAAAGCTGTTATTTTGACATTTCAAACAGACACTTCAATTTAATTTATCTGTATAGATTTATTTTTGAGTACATACTGTTACCATCGAATAAATATTGCCAAATATTGACATTAATATTTATACGATACTAACGTCACTCAATTGTTTTGCCTTCCCGGAACCTCTCTACTAACACTTAAACTTTATGGTATGGTATTAAAGTTCAAATTGAATTACGAATATTTTGTAAGGGAGTATAGAAAAGTGTTGTTTTTAGACTTTTTCAGGCAATTTTTTAATTTTTTCTCTCCGTAACAACCATCCTCGTACTTCAAGGAATAGTCTAAAAAAAGAATTAGCGATATCATATTCAGCGATTCATTTTTATATTATAGAAGATTATATTACAACTGCTACCTATATATTTACGATTATAACAAATCACATTTAATACGTAATTTCTATTCATTAATTGCGATTTTGTGACTGTGTGACTACTGACTTTTATAATTCAAAGTTATAGGGAAGAATATTAATACATATTATATTTACGATTACATTTACGAGTTTAAATAGAAAATACAGCCAGAGATGCCCCGAATGAATCGAGGGCAAATCGCTAGGATGACATACAGTTCTCTTTCTTAATTAATTTTATTCTCTATTACAAAACCGTACATATATTGGTTCTTGAGTACGCAATATTAGATCAACCTTGAAGGTCAGATCAGATGGCTTGGTCACTGGTTCGAGACGAAAACGTCGTATCAAACTAGATACTACGGTCTTCATTTCCAGCATAGCAAACTTTTGTCCTGCAAATGTTAATAACGATTGTATATTAAGCGAGTTATATATTTTTAAAACAAGTAATTAGTTCCACCGCTCCATCATATATTATTGTAGTTAATGTTTTTCCTTATCAATCATCAGGCAACATAGACATTCACCCGAGTGGAATCGAACCCGTCCTTTCCATTAATTTTGCAAATAGAGAAGGTGAGAATTGACAGTTAATTATTAATTTACGTGTACCTACATACTCGTAAATACTATAGTAATATTATATATTGTATATTATATAGTATATTTGTATATTATATTGTATATTTGTATAGTATATAGGTAGTAATATTATACTTGGGTTATCGTCTGTTGGATGACGAACGTCGAAGAATGTAATGAAATGAAAATGAATCTAAATATATTTTGATGACACGTTTGACTCACTTTGTGTGCCCTGCTTGCTGTGCCAGCAGTCGCGGGTTCGGTTTGCGCTGGGGGAATTCAGTTGTGTGATGACCATGAATGTTTGTACTCCAATCATGGGTGTTTATATTTATAATATGTATTTAATTGAAGTTATATTATTATGTGTAGTGTTTGGTGTTAGTGGTGGTTTTGGTGTTAGTGTCAACTATTTGGTATCCATAGCACAGACCTCGTAGCTCAGCATGGAATCAGATGGTGATCTGTGTTAATGTCCCAACATATTTATTGCTTGGTACATGACATTTTACTTATGAGATGACATTTTACAATACAAACATTTGTTTAAAGTGAGGAAAGCTACACACAAGAAACAATTTAATAAATATTATCTAAATAAGTGATAAATAAATTTGTTTTATTTGTAAACTTATTAAAGTAACTTGTGACAAATGAGGATTATTCCCGTATATATAAAGAAGGGTAAGTCACTAGTTTTTAATTATATTTTTCTCACCTATACAGTTCCTGGGTCCAGCACTAAAAGGTAAATATGCGAAAGCATGACGCTTTTCACAGTTTTCGGGAAGGAATCTTTCAGGTATAAACTGCTCAGCATCCGGGTAAATATCTTCGCAGTGATGCAGAGCATATATTGGTAAACAGAAGTCAGAATCTGCAGGAATTGTATAATTACCTAAAAAAAATAAGCATTTAAATTTATAAAGCTAAATTCCATCTCAAAATAACTGAGAGCTAATGATCAAATGAAAGTGAGATAGGCGATATTATACACTTTTGGTGTAGAATCTATTATCTTCTCTTGCTTTAGAACTAAGTATAACGAATACACAGTGTTATATGTACTTCCGCTTCGTCCTCGATATTAGCACAGATTACATGTAATACCGCGCAGTGAGATGCCGAACTGGCACTATATTTAGAGCATTTTTTTAAAATAAATGTCAGTATCATATTCTCCGTCAATCCTTATCCTTTTTTTAGTGCTGCACTTCTTTCAAAGGCCGTCTTAATTTATAGATTTTTTGCAAAAATATGCTAAAGTGACGGAGATAACAATGGTTTCGCATCCTTCGAGTGTAAATTATGAAAATTAAATAAAAAGTTGCAATGCTAGAAAGATAAACATCATCAAAAGCGTATTTGGCGTCTATGGACTCTGGACTGCAGTCCCCGTTTTACAATCCTGTCGACGTCTGTCTTATATGTTCATAAACAACAACGTAGCTCAGTGGTAACGCGCTCGCTTGGGAAACCGAGTGAAGTGGGTTCAAATCCTATGTATCGCACCTCTGATACTATCATGTGCGAATAATTTCTAACACGATTACTACTTGTCTTATTGTAAAAGAAAAAATCGTGAGGAAATCTGCATGTCTGAAAAAACTTAGCAAGTTTGCGAAAGACATGTGAAGTCCGCCAACTCGCACTTGGCCAGCGTGTTGGTCTATTCAAGTTTTTTTACAGTTCTCATTATTAATCGTCGTAAAATATTTGAACATTTTTAAACTTACAATATGTTTAATTATAGCATTATGACTATTTCTAGCTATTTAAAATCTGATTTAGAACACTGGAGCAATATAACAGAACACTCCGTAAGCACCCTGTCCTGTACGTATTAAAGAGCACCAGAGTAATGGAGTAAGGTGAAAGCAAAGGTTTTACACACGCAAAATAGGCGCATAGTCGTCGAGTTGCGGAAAACAGCCCGAACATACCGTACTGTTACGGGATTTTAATTAAAGCCTTGCAATTTACCTTACATTAAACATATATAACAGTACCATACCGAGGTGAAAGTAAACAACATTATATATAAATATATATATATATATATATATATATATATATATATATATATATATATATTTAACAGGTGATAATTATGTTGGAAACGATTCGCACATGAAAATACTATAGATAAACACTGCGAGACCGAAGATTTGAACCCGCTTCACTTGAATTTCCAAACGAGCGTGCTGTCACTGGGTTGCCACTACTCTTATATATATATTGTATATGTATAATATATGTATGAATTTACCCAAAGTTGTTTCTTCATTAACGTGCCTTTGAATTATTGGTACACTAGGATATAGCCTCAAGGATTCCTTTATACACAGCTCTAAGTATTTCATTCCGCTCAGATCTTCTAGCGTTGGTAGTCGTTGCGAGTCACCAAAGATGCTATGCATTTCTTGATAGATTTTGTCCTGAATAAAGTAAATATAATCGAATGTGTTGAACTAAGCAAATACAAGATTAAATATTTGGAGAGTGATAATAAGTTCTCATATTTATTGGTATAGTACTTACATGAAACCAACGCCAGACCTAGTATTTTAATAATTTCATTGTTAAGGAAAGTATTTGCAAAAAAAATAATATTAGGTCTTTAGCTTTGAAATTGACGTTTAATATAGAGAAAGTTAAAAGTCATTTTTTATTAAAAAAAAATTATTTTTTTCAATCATAATATGCACCCATGCTATCGATCCGTCTCTGCCAGCGCAATGGTAATTTTTCTTGAATAAGCCAGGTGCACGGAAGCCAACAAACTCTTCAAAGGCTAAATTTTGTACTGCCTCTCGGGTGTGTTTTGAATTTTTCCCCTTGGACGAGCGATTAACCAAAGCTCACCGCAAACTTCTTCATCATTGTGTCCAGTTCCTCACAGTACACATCCGCAGTAATGCTTGGGCCATTTAGTAACAAGCTGTGACGAAATATACCGGCACTAGACCACCAAACGTGGCCATGACTTTTAGGGGTAAGTTTTCGTTTAGAATTTTATTATATGTATAGATTGTAACTAAGCCGAATCTGTACATTAAATATTTTTTGGAAAATCTTATTGAAATAGACATTATTATCGATACAGAGGCCGAATCTATAGTTTTTAGAATTTTTGTCTGTCTGTCTGTTACCGCATCACAGAAAAACCACTGGAGGGGTTTTGATGAAATTTGGTATGGTGATGACTGGTTATCCCGGTCAACATATAGGATACTTTTTACCGCGGGGAAATGTCTCATTTCTGAAAAAAAATACAAAAACTTCAAAGTAAGAGTAAACTAATTTGTAAAATTTAAGAATTTGGTTTCTGGTCATCTGAACGCGGGCGGAGCCGCGGGCAATGCTAGTATTATTTAATAATGTCTTTCTTCATAACATAAATATAATTAATAATAATGCATTTTTTACATTGGCTGTTTTATTTTAAAAAAATGTTCAATGTGCAGGCCGGACTTAATATTTCTTTCTAAGTTTACAAAATCTTACAAACTTACTTGGACTGTAGACTCATTGGCAATCGCCATTAACATGAAGGATAAAGCCGTCGCAGTTGTATCATGCCCCTGAAAATATAAGTAATACTAGCGGCTAACCCTCGCTTCGCTCGGGTTCGCCTCTAGAAAAGCACAAACAGATCTATCCCATGGGAACTGTTCATTCATCCGAGATGAAAAGTAACCTGTTGTTTGCAGTGCCGGATTAACCACGTAGCAAGAGTAGCAATTGCTACGGGCCCCGCGCAAAAGGGAGCCCCGCATATTTAAACCCGATTATCTCTACCTGAGCGTGATTTTTTGAGTGAAACTTATTAAGACGTGGTATATTGAATTTATTTGATGTCACAAATACGTGAAACGTCACACCTTTCCCTACTAATAGACCAATCGGAATCCACTAATTTTTAAGAGAAAAAATATATATTGAAAACCTGAAGTTTTATGATTTTAAAATGTTAGTATGTATATATAAGGAATTTAAATTCATAAATGCCCCCTATGGCCAGCTACCCCCGAGAAATGGCGGAACGCGTTGAAAAATAGGTTTTTTTTCAATTTCCGCTTTACTGTGACGTTCTATCGAAAAATGTTTTGTACAAAAGTTGTAGGTTTAGTAGAAATCTACAACTTTTATAAATAACATTTTTTACAATAATCTCAAAGTTTTCGAGATATTTGCAAAAAACTCGGTTTTTAACTTTTTCTTGTTTTTTTTTATTTTTGATTTCTAGAATAATCTTTTAATTTCCATGAAACCATAATCTTCAAAATGCATATAATAAATTAATAAAAGGAAATTGAAATGTTTGGCTATTTCCAAGAAAAGTATGTTTTATGGTCTCGAGAGGCTGAAAATCACCCCCAACTTCAAGTGGGCGTTTACATTTAAAAAAAAAATCGTTCAATTCATTTCTATTCCCTTAGTTAATTAGTCTCTCCCGTGAACATGAATGCTGTAAAGCATTCGAAACGTCGGGAACCAAAAATCCAAATAAATCCGCGAAAAAATCCGAAAAGATAGTTTTATTTAAAATGTCAAATATTCGCGTAAATCTAAGAAAGTATTATATTTTTTTTCTCTTAAAAATAAGCGGATTCCGATTGGTCTAAAAATATAAAAGTAGCTATTTCTAAAAATATAATATACTTTTTATTAAATATAAATAAATACCTTGGGTCTTTGCGCTTCGGTCGAAGTTTTTGGCCAAAAGTACAATTTACTTAAAAAAAAAACTAAAAACTACAAAAATAAAACAAAAGTAATAGCTTTGTATCCGACCGGGATTTGAATTCGAATCGATTCGGGACACCTGTCATTTTCAATCTAGCGCCTTGGCTGCTTGACCACGATGCATATACCTGAGCGTGCGAAATTAGCGACCATATTTTGCGTGGAATAATGCGAAAGAAAACCGCATGAAAACTCGAAAACACGCGCTTTCCTAAACATAAGTCTAATCTAGATCGATTTTTTGCACCCGAAAACCCCACATGCCAAATTTTAGCAAAATCGTTAGAGCCGTTTCCGAGATCGCCGGTATAAATAAACAAAAATTACTCGTTTAAAGGTATTAGAATTAAGAAATATCTATTAAAAAAAATTGTGCAGTATCGTCACTTTTCAATTGTTAGTTTCTTATCAAAATTATCCTAAATTGCCAGGAATTCTCATCTCTGGCTTTTTTTACTTGTCAGAGCCTAACATAGCCTATAGGAATCTACTGTACTATTAATCACTCACAAATTGTAATCTATAGATGGCAAATAAACGATATTGAGGCCTGAGGTATTGAGTATTGAATTGTTTTTTTTACAAATTTATACTTAAAAACCCATAGCAGATCAAGGGCTCTTCAAAAGAATTTGCTACGGGCCCCGCGCTTGCTTAATCCGGCACTGGTTGTTTGACCGGCAATATAAGGTATCAGCATGCCAAATTTTACTAAATTAGGAGCATAAGTTGTTGTGTACTAAGCTGTATAAGTTAATATAGTTTTTTAACTATCCCACAGGAATTCTTTAATTTTCCGAAATAAAAAGTATTTTCAATGTTGACCGGGGATATAAGGTACCACCATGCAAAATTTTATTTAAATCAGTCCAACAGTTTCGGAGATTAGCCCGTACAAACAGATAAACAGACAGAGAAACAAAAAAATTGAAAAAAATCTGGATTTGTTCTATTTGTCTTCTTACATTCCCCTGACTCGGTTTTTAGCATTTTTTGCTATGTACAGACATTCGACCTCTACTGTTTTATTATAGTATAGATTAAGTGTAATTAAAGCAGAAACATTATTTGAATTACAATTTAATTATCTATTTATCAATAACGTTAAGGGTAAAGCGTGTTCTTATCTTTTCGTGGATAAATAATACTTTATTGAGCAAAGTGCTATGTATAATACCCACCTCAAACATAAATGTATCTACTTCTTCTCTAATGCCTTCACAGTCGATTTTTCCTAATTTTTCATTTTCTAAAAGCAAATCTAACATTCCTAATTTTCCTTTCTTTCCGTAGTCATCATCGGCATCATTAAAAACATTTATATTGTTAACTTTTAAGAAATTTCGCCGTTCTCTAATTATCCGAGTTGTAAACACATGTAGGTCTTCTAAAGCTTTCTTTTGGACTTTTGCCATGGTTGACCATTTAAAAATACTGTCAAAATGTAACCAAATTCTGACCATTCTATGCACTACAGAATTTCCTAGAATTTCTATTGCCTTTAAATACTTGTTAGCTATAGTGTCAATATCATCTTGCATTGTAGTGCCCATTGCAGTTTCTGTAAATGAAATGCCAATTTTTCTTGTTATAGAAGAAAATGGTACGGAAGTTGTAATGTATATTCCATTATTCCTGTAAGATAGGGAATAGAAATCGCTTAGTTAATATACATCTTCTATGCAAAAAATGTTGTTTCATATAGTAATTTCGTAGTTAGTTGACGTAAATATCTTCAGCTGTCTATTAAAGTTCTATTTTATCTTAAATGGAATCCTCAGTTTAAAACACGCTGTTTGGGGATAAAAATAAAGAAAAAAATTATAATGTTACGATTGCGATGAGAGATCCGGTGCAGGATCGACGGGTTTACGTATACTTGGAGAAACAAGTCAGGAAGAATACATATTTTCCGGGCTCCTGACTGTTTTTGAGAATTTCTTAACGGAAAAACCCAATAACTATACTTAGCCTAACCCAAATTTTACCCCTGACTACTGGATTTGCAGCCGTACATGCTAGCCACTAAATCACCGAGGCACTTCAAATTACAGAGACAAACCAATTAGTTTTACTAACCACACATTATATGTAATGTTGCAAATGTGACCAAAGGTGCTACATCAGTTTTTGCTTCACCAACTTTTTCTTGCACTAAAGCCAAAAACTCTTCTGTTTTTTCTGTAAAAGTTCTAGCATATTTTTTCAAAATATTAAAATGGAATGCTTGAGTTAATAACTTGCGCCGCTGTTGCCACTTTTGTCCTGAAATTTTTATGACTATTATAGCTTTGCCTTCTAAAAAGGTACTGAATGGCAGAATAAGACTAGTGAAAGAACCAATGTTATTAATGTTCACACACCGCAGACTGGACTGCTGTAGTGAAAAATATATTTTAAGAAGTTTTTGATATTTTAAAATGATTGCCTCTAAGTGAATATGTAGGTGTAGATGTTGTATTAGAGGGAACGTCAATGGATATTTAAGCCTTATGAATGGAGAATATGAACGAGTTACTTAAATAATGACAAAAAAGCTGAGTTCACGTGAAATGGACATGTCATCAGGAAAGAGATCCGATACTGAACCATTGCACTATCAACGGAAATAGAAACACTTGCAAAGTTTCAAGTCAATGTGACAATTAGAAGTAGATTTAATTCATCATTAGTTATTTTTCGAACCTTAGGGGTGGTAAAAAAAAATACAGCCCAATTGAGAACCTACCTTTTTGAAGAAATCGGTTAAAAAGAGTATCGTATTAGGAATGAATTGATGGAAACAATTTATAATGTAGATAATGATGGAGAGGTCGCAAATTCGGAATATTAATTAGAACACCAAACTGTAATACTCCACCAAATTAGAAGTCTTCTCTTTTTTTGTAAGTCAGGACCTACCCAGTGACTGGACTACCAGTAAACAAATTATATTTTAGAAAATTTAGAAATAAGTAAGTACGTACCGTTGCTAACTAGTAATCCTTCGCTTAGCCAAGGCTTAAGAAAGATATATGGTAACCTTTTCCCATTGTATTGAACTGACGATAAAATAGTCTACAAAAAAAAGATATATTAATAATAATAATAAATATGTTGCGACATTAGCACACAGCACCATCTAGTTCCATGGTAAGCTAGGAGGCTTGTGTTATGGATACCAGATAGTCGATACACTATACATATATAACTTTAAATATATACATATTATAATATTATTTTTAATAGCAATATATAAATGCATAATACATTTTAATGGATATTTAATTCTAACTAACTGATCAGGACATTTGAAACATAATTATTGAACATATAATTATTTGGAAAGTTGTAATGAGGAGAAAAGACCACGCTCGCGAAACATCATACTTGTCTGTTAGGGCCGTGTTCGTAAAATAAGTCGCCTTTAACAATCCCATAACATATTTTAATACTTTTAATTTTTATAATAAAAATCACGCTTAGGCATATTTTGCGTTTTTGAGCTGTCTTTGTTTGAACACTGTCACCAAAAATTCGAACCTGGACACCTATGATTGTTGATCTTGCACCTTGACCGCTTGAACACGATGCTTATTCCCGAGCGTGCAAACTACTGACCATATTTTGCGTGGAATAGTAAAAGAAGATTATGTGGAATAGTGAAAGAAGATTTTCGTCCTGCAGAAAAGAGCTATTCGTGCAATTTATAGTTTAGGTCCTAGAGTGTCATTAAGAGATAAGTTTAAAGAAATAAATATATTGACAGTTGCTTCTCAGTACGTGTACGAAAATGTTATGTATGTCCGTAAAAATATACACGAATTTCCCAAGAAGTGTGACATGCATAACATTAATACTAGAAGCAAACACAAACTTGTAATGCCTGTGACTCGTCTACACAGAGTCAGTAATTCTTTTTATGCACAATGTTTACGCTTGTACAACAGGATCCCAGAAAACGTTCAAAAGGCTTCTATCGCCAAATTCAAAAAAATTATTAAAGAACGTTTGTGTGCTAAAGGCTATTATACAATGAATGATTTTATAGAAGATGGCACACCTTGGGAATGAAATGATCGCCTTCAGGCTAGTTCAACTTGATAGAAATATTGTTAATTATAATTTAACTTCATAAAAAAAGATAATGAAATAATGTTAGTCCCGCTGAGTTTCTTTCGCCAGTTCTTCTCAGGTCTGAGGCTTCTTCTATCCGAACTGGTAGTAGACGTTCATCGTACGTTCAGTAAAAATTTTTAATAATTTAATGCTGAATAAAATATTTTGAATTTTGAATTTTATAACTAACTAGCATTGCCCGCGGCTCACTAATATTATTCGCCAATAGATGTCAGAAAGAGTCATTTTTTCAGTTTATGTTTAAGTGGCAACATTAGGACTACCCAAACGCCACCTTTTAATTAAAAAAAAAGTTTATGTTTTAGTTGATTATCGATAAAGTTAATTATTGAAAAAACGAATAAGACGACATTTTCTAAAAATACCTGGGCCACCGAGCTTGGCTTGGAGTTTTTGGTCAAAAGAACAATTTTCTTTTAAAAAATAAAACAAAAAATCTTGAAAAAATACAAAAAAAAATTTAAAAAATAATAAAATTATACCTTTGTATCCGACCGGGATTCGAACTCGGACACTTATTTATCTTGAAACAAAAACGGAAAAATCCAAGTAATGTTGTTCAAGTAAAAAAATTATTATAAACAAAGTATAATTTTTTTTAACTTTAACGGCGCGATCTTATTAAGTATGTATGTAAGAAAAGGGCTACGAAGCGAAATGTTTTTACGACCTTTATTTAAACATTTTTTTTCACTTAAAATTAAGACGGTAGTTCGAGAAAATTTTGTTAGTTAACAATTGTTTAACGTGTTGAAAAATTAACTTTAAGTAAAATTTTCAAAGGGAATAAATCATTTATAGTGTTCAGAACACACCATAATTTTTTATAAATTACAAAAAAAAATATTCAATACCTTAAATAAATTAATTAATGTGCCGTACTCGCTTTTGACGCCACGCGTGCAATTAAAAATGTTGCGCGCAGACCTATTTTCAGCGTTAAATTAAAATTTTAAGTAATGGAGATAGAGTTCCGAGAGTCTAGAGTTTTTTATTGGAAATTTCCTCCTCTTTTAGAATCTTTTTTTAAAATTTCTTAAATATTAATAGTTTATGAAATATTGGCAAAAAACGAAATGCCATTTTTTTTCATCCTTAATTGTTTATAGCTTTTGCAATTTTTTATGTGCTAATACACGCCTTCGGCAGATTTTTCTAGGCGTCATTCCGGATCCAATAAGCTATCGCACATAATTTTAAGAGCAGTATCTCTATTTTGTACCATTTTCAACTTGTCGACTAGACTATTATTTATTATATAGCTTTAAAGTTCAAATTTATGGTTTTGTGCACTTTTTAGCTAAACTGTAAGAGTTACAGAAAAATATTAAATGGCAAATTTGTAGTACGTTTAAAATCCTATATAAAGTCCTTGTCAACTTTTTTATATATTCAATAACAACAATGTTACAGGCTCACGAATATTTATTTTTTCAAATTTTTGCTCTTACGAACTGAAATACGATAATTTTATTATTGATATTTTATGTCCTTTAACAATATATTTTATAATTTACCTGAAAAATCATTAAAATATGCCAAATAAGTCTGTCACTATTAACTATTGATAATACAAAATACATGATCTATCCAATTTTGTACCTTTTTTTTGTTTAATTATCGAAATTTCAGTTAGTAAAAGCAAAAATTTGAAAAAATAAATATTCGTGAGCCTGTGTGTTAAAGCTATATAACAAAAAAATATTGAAGATAGAAATTCGACTCCATGGAACTTTTTGTAGTAAATTTAATAGTAAAAACGGTCCATTTTTTCATTTTTTGGAAAAATATTTTCGTCTTACTTTGCAGGACAAAAAAGTGTTAAAAATCATAATATTTTCCATACAATTTGTAGGGGAAAACTTAAAATTCGATGGAGAACCTCTTAGAATTAGAATTTTGAGCCTCGCTTTGAACAGGAGCTGTATTGGGATATTTTCTGAGATATTTTGGGGTGAGAGCGAAGAAAAAAAAATATCGTCATTTTTTGGCACATATCTATATATATAAAAGAAAGTCGTGTTAGTTACACTATTTATAATTCAAGAACGGCTGAACCGATTTGGCTGAAACTTGGTGGGGAGGTAGCTTAGAACCAGGAGACGGACAAAGGATACTTTTTAGCCCGTTCGACTGCGTTCCCGTATACAAGACTCAAGAACGGCTGGACCAATTTTTATGATATTTCAATTTTTGGATTTCTCTCATTCCGGAATAGGTTCATACCTAAGTATTAAAACGTCAGAAAAATTAACGAAAAAAAAATATTTATATGGCTAATAACACTGGCTAATAACTATTTATATCTATTTAAAACGTACCTAGCGACGAACCCGAGCGAAGCGAGGGTGAGCCTCTAGTTATATATATAATGTAAGGTTGTATAAGGTTGGAATAAATACAACCCCCCCCCCCACCCCCTCCAACGTGTGTTCACCTTGTCGTGGTGGGGGGCTCAGTAGTGCCCGGCAATACAGCCGGGCGCGAAGCCAAGAAACGCACAGAGAGGTGGCCCACTTTGGTGGGCGGTGGGAGGTGGCCCTCTTCGAAGGGCGGTGTACCATGCGGGTTGCTCCTGGTACTTCTCTGATAGCAGAGTGGACCTTGGAGCAACCCCGTGGTTGTTGCGGTCTGTTTCGGCACACCTGCCGTCGGGGCGTCGTAGTTGAATGCGTAAGCGATCCTGCGATTCCTCATTAAGACGGGGGAAGGCTTTGTTGGGTTTTAGTGGGTAGTACTGGCTTTGCCGGTGAGTCCCACACCTCGTGCGTAAATGCTTTTCCCAACGTTAAAAAAAAAAGAAAAAAAAAAGTTTGGAATAAATCGACGTGACATGGTTGATAGAAACGTACGTTAAATTTTGAAGTTATCAAGATTTACTCAAAGGAAACATTTTTTTAATTTAAAAATAATCATAACTCTATTTAATTTTTTTTAAACAATACTCACCTAAACCGGGAATCGAACGAAATAAAAATACAAAAAAGGATACATCACTATTTTATTGAATTAATCGATATGGAAAGAATAAAATCTCTCGAACAAACATTGCGTCTTAGAATTGAAGAAAATAATCTTACAAATTATACATATCGACTCTAACATCGTGAAAGACCGATTGTATTAGGTGTAATGGAATTAGATTATAGACAACATTCTTTGTAAAATAACTAGGATTTACTAACCTCTAAAACTCGGAAAATATCGATATTACGAAAAAATAATCAATAAACAAAATGTAGAGAGTTGAATAATAAACGACTTTACTTCTCATGATTTTTCTCGAAAAGTTAAAAATGGCCGAGATATTGAGAAAAAACGATTCCATCTTAAAATAAAGATGGCGTCTAACGCGCCGCTCGAATTTAGTTACGTAATCACCGTGACTCCCCTAAAGGCTGGTAAAATAAAATTTTAGCCTAGAATTTTTTCGTGGTTAGGTTCATATCTTCGACAACCTGCCAGGGCTAATGGTTATAATAATTAATCGAATGCATTCAGTTATTATAAACTAAAAATGGCGAACCCAGTTATAATTAATGGATTTGAGCGATTATTTTTGGGTTTTTAATACTATAAACTAATAAGTTTACCCATTTTGAATAAAACTATCTTTTCGGATTATTTCGCGGATTCATTTTGATTTTTGGTTCCCGACATTTCGAATGCTTTACAGCAATCATGGTTACAGGAGAGACTAGGTTATAGACGTCTCAAGGACGTTATACACTTGTTACAGACAGTGCCTACCAACTATTTTACAAAAATGAGTTCAATAATATCAAAAATGGCATCAAAGTACCTACCTTACAATATTTGTTGATTTTATTTCTAAACATTTTAATTTTTTTCGATAAGCATTATAATTAAATAAAGCAATAATATTAATTTAATATTTTTTTTAATAATGTTTTAAATTTCTAAAAAGCATTAAAAATACCTCAATTAATTCTGGCGCTGCCACTCCTATAACTCGACCGTTGATGGCGTACAAACTGAACACAACACCATAATCGATAGACAAACTCTGTATAAATTTGAAAAGCTCAACTGAAAATTTAATAATAATGTTAACTAATCAAAATTAAATTCATATTAAAGCTTTCTTTGAAAATAAATTTTATAAAGCTTATACCTGGTGGACGTAAAAAGTGAAAAGAGTTGCCTATTATAGGGAAAGCTTTGGGGCCTGGTATTTTAGAAGCAAGTCTTCTCGACCTATTGCAGTGATCATACAAAAACACTGTTAAAAGTAACACAAATAAAAATACTATTACAATGGGGAAAAACATTTTCCTTCAGACGTCTTACTCGTAACTAGACCATTTACCTAATGATTATTCTCTATAAATATTGTGTACCTATTTAGATAAACGTAACGCAACATCATTATAATTATGTGTTTGTGATGTGTGCTCAGGGCCGGATTATCCATAAGGCGGATTAGGCAACTGCCCGTTCCATCAAACGATTTTTTTTTAACATTTGTATACTTTCTCAATATTATTCCTTTTTTAAACGCATGTTGTCAGTTGATGAAATACTTCATGTATAGTAGAACTAAAAATAGCTGTATTTGACGATATAGGTAAACTATTGAAATTCAAAAAACACCCAAGCTTCAATAGGGAAGATGGCTGGGTACTACCATCATCGTGGGATCCTTTAATAAACAATAAAATCTAACAACAAAAATAAACATAACAGACCATTAGATGTAGTTAGTTCATACTGTGTGGATCGCAATATATATAATATATATATATATATATTGCTTAAATAAATAATTATATTTTTAATTTTTAAATTTCTTTGTGGTTATACATATTATAAAATTTATTCAAAAAAATAATAAGTATTTAATTATAATATTTATAAAAAAAATTAAAGTGTTTAGAATTAAAATCAACAAATGTTGTAAGGTAATCTGGTGCCATTTTTGAATTTTTGAAATCTTTTTGTAAAATTGTGGGTAGACACTGTAACAAGTATATAACACCTTTGAATGTCTAAAGCCTTAGTCTTTCCGCGACCATAATTGCTGTAAAGCATTCGAAACGTCGGAAACCAAAAATCAAAATAAATTTGCGAAATAATCCGAAAAGATAGTTTTTTTTAATATGTCAAATATTCGCGTAAATCTAAGAAAGTATGATATAGGTAAGGTCAGCGCTGGATTTACACTAGGGGCACTAGGGGCTAGTGCCCAGGGCGGGAAAATTCAGAGGGCGGGAAAAAAAATTCTTCGCGTTATCGAAAATGCTTTCTTTATTTTACAAAAAATTAAAAAAAGAATAACTAGTAGTTACTCTTTTCTAAAAATTGATGTATTTTACAAATTAATTTTCTGCATTTTGCGAAAAATAATAAAAAAAAATTAAACTTTATCAAAACTTTACCCATTTTATGCTAAATTTTGATAATTGGGTGGCATTTTATCGTTGCTCAGGGGCGGCGCTAAGGTTAAATCCGGCACTGGGTAAGGTAAGCGATAATTCTGAACATAGCCGGTGCGCGTTCTGCTGATGAGTACTAGACTTTATTCACGTTGGGCGGGGAAACCCCGATTCGTTAGATGATATATTGGAAAAGGTCAACTTCCAAGATGTTTTAAACTTAGTATCTAAAAGAGTACGAAGAGTAGCTATTTAAACTTATTTTACTTTATAACACTATTTTCTTTCGTTTATTGTATTTAATAAGATTAAATTTAAAATAACTGCATAGCGTCTCATTTTTCTTTCCTGCTTCATCATGAGACCTGGATCATGACTTATCTATAACTATAAGCTATTCATTAAGATCATTTCAATGAAAGCAAAAAGCCATGAGTCAGGCATTTGAGGTGATGCTGTAGCATCAAGTCAAGATGTTGTTACAATCTATCTATATACTAATATTATAAATGTGAAAGTTTGTGAGTATGGATGTGTGGATGTTTTTCCCTCGTTCACGTCAGAACGGCTAAACGGATCTGGATGAAAGGCACAGAAATAGTCTGGAATAACACATAGGCTACTTTTTATCCCGGAAAAATATACGGTTCCCGAAGGATGGGTTTGTTTTATTTTCTAGAGGCGAACCCGAGCGAAGCGACGGTGAGCCACTAATATCGCATAAGAGATTGAAGTAACAGGATACCAAAGGAGTCGATCTGATTGACTCGACTTTTGTAATAGAAAAATGTATTTTTAAATAAAACTATCTTTTCCGATTATTACGCGGATTTATTTTGATTTTTGGTTCCCGACGTTTCGAATGCTTTACAGCATCCATGGTCACGGGAGAGACTGAGGTGTTACATGTCTTGAAGGTATAGTTGTTACAGACAGCCTACCCACAATTAACAAAATGAAAATTGCACCAATTACATTACAATATTTTTTAACTTTAAACATTTTTATAATTTTAATTATAATTGAATATGGAATATTATTTATTTAATTTTTGCTATTATTTTTATAATTATTACAATTTTAAAAATATTAATTAGTAATCTATATTTAGTGTTGCCATTATTATATTTATAACCATAAAGAAAAATATAAAATATAGTATTAATTATTTAAGCCATATAATTGTTCTATGTGTAATTTAAAAAAGTTAAAATTAATTAAGGATGATAATTTTTATTTTGTTTGCTATTATTTAAAAACAACTTACTAAGCAACACTATTACTATATACTTTTACAATGAAAAATGAAAAATATTAATCTGATATGCTGTCATTTTGATCTACACAGTAAGAACTTACTACATCTACTTGTCTGTTATGTTTAGATTTATTATTTGATTTTATTATATTAATAACAGGATCCCATGACGATGGTAGTACCCAGCCATCTTCCATATTGAAATTAGGATGTTTTTTAATTTCTATGGCTTCTCAAATCATTCTAGGGCGATATCGGTTTTCTTTCGCCAGGATTTGAGGTCTATCGAAGCGAATATAATGGCTTGGGCGATCCTGGCTATGTTTGCAGACAGCAGATGTTGTATTGCGACGGTGCTTCACATCAGCTATGTGTTCTTTGACCCGGGTTCTAATGGATTGCTTTGTTTGTCCAATGTAAGAGAGCCCACAATCACAATCAAGCTTGTAAACTCCTGCATCTTGTAGAGGGATGTGGCACTTGACAGGTAAGAACTGACTAATTTTCTTTGGCGGCTTGAAGTAAGTTTTAATTGAAGCTCGCTTTAGAATGTAGCCAATCTTGTCAGTGACTCCTTTCATGTATGGCAAGACGGCAGGAGGCGCGTAAATCTAAGAAAGTGTTATAGAAAAATGTATTTAAAAAAATAAAAAAGGGGTAAAGGAAAGGGGCCCCGAGAATTGCATTGCCTAGAGGCCCTGATAGAGTTAATCCGGCCCTGTGTGCTAGTTCAAACAGATAAGATATAAACGATATTTGTTATTTGTTAAACTAAATGGCTCGTTAGCATAGGGTACCATAGGATACTAGTAAGAAAAATTAAAATATTGTATCCTTAAAATATAAACATTTTAAAATATAACCTTTATTGCAATTTAAAGAAGGTATTTAAGTACAACGGAAATGTAAGGAGTAACTTACTGGAGGAAATAAAAATCCTACTAATATTATAAATGCAAAAGTTTTTGAGGATGTATGGATGTATAGATGTATGGATGTGTGTTACTCTCTCACGCAAAAACTGCTGGATGGTTTTTAATGAAACTACAATAATATAGCTCATACATCAGAATAACAGATAGACTCTTTATCCCGGAAAATTTTACGGTTCCCGTAGGATAGATATGGTTTTATTTTACTACTTTATGAAACTAACAACAGTTGAAAAATGTTTAATTATGACATCATTTTAAAAAACAAATTAAATAGGTACTTTATAAACAAATTAAATATATATTGCATTAAATGTATTTTTATTTTGTTATATGTGTTTATTTGTTCTTCCCATTGTAGGTTTTGACTAAAATTCTCAGCATATACTGATCACGCAAGGGATGCTATGGCCAAAATGTAGTAAAATTAGATATAAAATTAAAAACATAATATAAAAACTAGTTTTTTTTAAATTAGAAATGGGTTTACTCTTTACCTTCATTATAGCTCGAATGCATAGATAAGGTCTACGATCTAGCGAGTTTGCCCAGGAGAACTCTGTTAAATTTCACCTTAAATAGTTTCAGGTTATACGCACTCGGAAAAACAGACGCAGGCAGGGCATTCCACTTCTTGTCGAATGAAAAGATGACGAATAGCGCTTAGTGTGAATGGTGGGAATGTCAACCAAGAAAGGATGGTATCCTGCAGTACGTCTGATGTTCTGATAGAAGAATGGCGATGGCGGTATGAGACCATCGAGCTCATCGGCATACTCCCCGAAGTAGTTAGCGATGGTGTGCTACGCTGTGAAGCTTAATTTTCACCAGTTTTTCGTCGCCGATTTGCTTTTTGGCTCTGCCTTCCACCGAGTGAAGAGCGGCAAGTTGGTATTTTGTAGAGCCATCCCAAAGGTGACTTCAATACTCCATGTATGATCGGACTTGAGTTTTGTATAATGTGAGAAGCTGTCCAAGCGTAAGGTATCCTTTAACCTTGTTAAGGATACCCAGCTTTTTGGCCTCAGTCTATGCCTTCGACTTAATGTTGTCGCCAAAGTTAAGATTTGCACTTAACCTTATGCCGAGAAGATCTAGACTGTCTGAAATTTCTACAGGTGTACCACGGAAAGTAGACAAGACTTTTAGCGGAAAATGGACAGACCTGCGTTTTGGCAGCGTTGAAATCAACCAGATTATCGTCACCCCATTGTGAGACAAGACTTAAGGTCGCATTTGTACGCTCCACCATAGCCTATCTCAAAGTACGTTTTGTTACCCCTCCGTCCCTTGCACCGGACACATAGCTCTCTATGACTATGCTGTCATCTGCATATGCAACAATTCCTGGTGAAAGTAGGTCATTGATGTGTAGCAGGATAAGAGTCGCAGAGAAAACAGACCCCTGTGGAACTCCTGCATCAACAGACGTTAGATCGAAAGAGCAGCCGTCAACGACGACTCTAATCGACCGTTCGGTTAGGAAGTCTAATACCCAATCACAGAAGTAGGAGAGGATGCCGTAAGCAGGAAGCTTGCTCAGTAGACTTGCGTGCCAAACCCTATCAAATGCCTTCGAGAAATCGAGTGAGACTGCTAGAGCTTCAGCACGGTTTTCGATGGTCTCACCCCAGCATTCCGTGATATACACAAGAAGGTCCTCTGTAGACCGTCTCAAGGTATAACAGCAGCTTACTGTTAAGCAT